CAAAATTGAGACTAATATACAAAAATACAAAATGTATGCAAATGAAAAAATCTGCAGGAAGCAAAAACAACTGCATGAAAATAAAACTACAAACTATGGCTGCATACAGTAACTACAACGCTTCAGACCACCAGGGAAAGACGATCATCAACTTATATAGGATCAGAAGATAGTCATTGCTCAGAATTAAAATCCATAGCAAAAACATGAATGACATCCAGGAAACATCTAGAAAGAAGAAATAAAAATTCAAAGAAAAGCTTTTCTTTAAATCTGTTTGCAATGAATTAATAACAATCACCCCCCTTAGTGGTCTGTAGTACTTCTATTATGCAGTACTAATTTCAGTTTTTCTTAACTTGTATTTGCTACTGGCAGTATTTTCTGTTTTCACATGTTATGTTTGGATGTGTTTTAGCATTTAGCATTGGTAGTTTAACTTTTTTAGTTTGCTTCTCTGAGTTTGAAAATATTTGCAGAATCTTTGTATTTGCAATGAGAAATCTGTTAACACCCCTCTGCTACCCTAGTTTTGTAAATCAGAGAAGAAAGTGCAGCTATGTACCATTTGAAGTTGATGGACTTTTACATGGTAAAGTAAAAAAAAAAAAACGTCATAACTTTCATAAAAAGCCAAAAAAAAATGCTATGGACGCACTGTATAAACTGTATATATGCCATGCACCTTTTTCTTCCTTTTGCACCTTCTTCTTCTCTTTTTAACTATTTGAGCTGATGTAATGGGTACATTTTTTCACTCTGAGATCAATAAAGTCAATAAATAAATCAATCAAAGCAATAAATGTTGTAGTTTTGTAGTACAGTAGGTGAACCTGCTCACTGTGTTAGAATATTTTGGAAAAAAGCAAAGGAGTCTACTATATTTTGTTATTTTAATAGATCATATTAACATTTATTTATTTATTTATTTTATTTATTTTATTTATTTATATGTTTATTTATCAAATTGTGTCTAAGCCTGCCTGCTTTGTAAACCTTGAAACTAGCTTTCTGTTGTATTCTTCTGCTTTATTATATTTTCTTTTTTCCTCCTGAAGATTTTTCCTCTGCTCCAGCTGTGGTTCCTGTACTGAACAGTATGTACCACTGCCTGCAGCTGATGTAGCTAGTCCACATAGACATATGCTGGTAGAGAGATAGACAAGGTTGTAGGCGTGCTGTTCTTCTAGTGTAGAGCTGGTTGTAGCCTCAGCAAAAACTTGTCCTTTAAAGCTGTACAAATACAATCTCAGAGATGATCTCTTGTTTCTAACAGTTTAGAAATAGAAGCAAAAGTGGTTTTTAAGGAATGATAGTAGTTATCACTTAAAGTTATAGATCCTGCTCTGCTGATCAGACTGGGCTTTAGACGCAGTGATGCTGCTGCAGTAAAAGTTTGTTTTAACACACTTTTTCTTACATCAGCAATTTAATATATTCAGATATGTTCGCTTGTTAAATATGCTACCTGACAGGGTTGCTGCAGAAATCCAACATCTAGGGGTTCTCTTTCAATGTGTTACTTGATGGAATCTATTTCCAACACTTGTACTTTTTTTCTCTAATTCAGAAACGTTATCAGGATAGATGCAGTTATTTTAACCTGTTTCTATATCTTTCCTTGGTAAGCAATGTCAGAAAAATATATATATATATTTTTAATTCAGAATTAAGAACGTAAGCAATGTCATATTCTAATTGGTATATCTACTCTTCATAGGTGTCAATCCAGCTCCTCTCTATAACATTAAGACCCAGAGTTAGCTTTTAAACTGTCTTCTAGAAGGGTTTCTGTGAGATGTCCTGGTTTCAAGCAGCGAGGGGATCATGTTTTTCTTTACTAATCCTCTTTTCCTGCCATCTCTCCTTTTTTACTGTGCCTGTGTGGTTTCCTTTCCTCCTCCTGCTCCTGTTTCTTCTCCCCTTTATCAGTTCCAGCACTGTTCAGCATAAGCTCTTATGTAAGTGACACCTTTGCCTAAATCAGCTGGACTGCCAGAGAAGAGCAGGGCATCTCTCAGCTTTATGTGGCTTACTGTATATGAATAACAGTAAGCTTCTCCCCTTTCTCAGCCACTGGTAAATATTGATAGGAGAATCATATCTTGGTATATCTTGTAATTAAAAATGTTTTTCTTTTCTTTCCTAGTTCTCTAACTAGCTCCAATTGTGTTTAAACATTCTTAAAAGTGTTTTTACTTTAACTAATGAATTTTGGTTGTTTAATTGTTGGGAATGACTCTCATCCATAATCTTTGATAATGTAACAGCTAGTGCTACCCTGAGTGTGCCTGGCTGTTCTGGTGATGGAAACCAGAACTCCTTCAAAGCTTTTGAAAGCTTTTAGATTATTGACAGAAATAAATCAGTCTGCTTCTGTCTCCTTGAACCCCAGTCGGCCTTGGCAGATGGCCGCTCACACCTGGTTCGGCTGGAGGTTTCTTCCTGTTAAAGGGGAGTTTTTCCTCTCCACTGTCGCTACAAGCATGCTTGGTGTGAAGTATTGCCTTACGAGTCAATGAGTCGACCCAATCAACTGGGTTTCCTTAGATAGAAAACTTTGAATCAATTTGACTGTATGATCTGGTTGAATTGTAAAGTTCCTTGAGATGACATGTGTTGTGAATTGGCGCTATGTAAATAAATAGATTGAAACTGAACTAAAACCTCGGAAAGAGCACACTGTATGCCTTAAGGCCAAGATGCTAACTCGATATAAAGAGCATTTTTAAAGTCATTATCCAGGAATGTGACAAACGTGAGGGAGAAAAACAAGGAAGCATTCTTAATTCTCTCGTGACCACATCCCCTTCAGGAATTGTAAGTTTGGGTGAAAATCAAGCATGTTTGAAATTCAGTCGGCTGTCGTAAGGTGTTCGTGGGCAAATCAGCAGTGTGCATGTGCAAACAAGGGGGTTCTTCTTGTTTTTCTCAAAGATTCATGAGTTCGATCAGTGCCATCTCACGGCGCTGAGTCCAACGTGTGGTTTTTGGACGTACAGTGTGAGGTAGATTGTATCAGAGCGTCGGGCCGCACAGTGGGAGAACATACATCGTGAGCTGTGAACTTTTAAACCCTGCAGTTTCGTCATACAGTTTTAGCTGTAGCTGAGTAAAAATGATTGTCAGAAAATATTGTACAGTGTATGCCCATCTTTAGATGCCCCTAAAGATGGGCTAAAGTATCACAAACGAGATAAAATCAAAGTACTAACATCTCCATAGTCATATCACCTACTATGCTTTGCTAAAACAATGACTGAGCAAACTGGTATAATGTGAGTGGCTAGTTCTTTTTTAAAACAAAACTACAATTTTAGAGATTAAAGTAATTATTAATTATCAGTTTATTTTGCTAAATAGCTTTAATACATGATGGTATGTTTCAGGCAAAAATGAACATTAGTCTCAGACTATAGTAATACAAAGTATTTGTATCATACCTTAACCCAATTTACCTACTCATGCACAAAACTACTCAATTTGATAGCATTCAGGTCACACCTACTGAATTGCGTTTTTTTGTCTTATTATTTAAAGGATAATGTAACGCCCTTCCTAATGTTCTAAATGGGGTTAGAAGAAGATAAAAATCATATGTTTCCACAGATATCATTGTCATTATTTCAATGTTAACAAGTATTTGAAAATAATTGCATTTTTACAAAAAGAAATATTCCTCATCTTCCTCTGTGACATTATTTCAGAGCTGCCTCTGACAGTTATGTCAGGGTGGTGCTCTGTGATGTGGTTTTGGGGAGAAAGATGATTCCTGCTGACCAACACACCTTTTCTTATTGCAAAAAAAGGGATCATATCTGTCTCTATCCAAAATGGTTCTGAATAACATGAGGAATAGAGGATGACCATGGTTTCCTGCCAAGCCAAGTGTGACATGACAGCATGCATGTAAAGCATCAAACATACACCATCTAACCCTCCCGGTCTATGCCAACATAGGCTTTTATGCTCATCTGTGGGATGTCATGATGGCGAACACTCTAATAGACAAGCTATACTAGTTCTGATTTTTGTATTGAGCCTCTTTTAAATTATCCCTGTCACTTAATATCTTTCTCACAGCATATCATAAATATTAAGCCAGATGAAATATTTGAGATCCAGCTCTCATTTACAAAAAGACAGGCCATGTTTTCAGATCACAACCTTATCTCTATTGAAAGCTTAAATGAGCCTTAATCAAAATCACATCTTTCAGAATCGGAACCTAAAAACTAGTCTGAAATGGACCGTGAGTAAAGTGGGCATCTATTAGATTTATTTTGTTTACATAGTCCACGAATATAAAACATGTCAAGTCAAAGTATTGTACAATATTTGGTTAAAATTGGTAAGAAGAAATAAGTGAAACCCTGCAGATTTTTATTGAGTCATAGTTGTGCTGCACTCATTCCTCCAGGATGAACATGTAGCACCAGCCACTTGCATTGTGTTTTTGACTTCCATCATACTGAGCTTTTCCTTCCTTAGAAAAGGAGATGGCTGATACACGACATATTGTATGCCAGTTGCATTCCTTTTCAAATCTCTTTCGGGTTCACGTTTGCGGCTCCATTTGTAAAAGCTTACATCTCTATCAAACATGGCCGGGTCGGTTGAATATTTCCAAACAGTCCTTGGCAGATGATAGAGGAGCCCTTGTAGCTACATGAACTGTTTTGTGGAAAGGCTATTGTCAGCAGAGTTTCCGTGATTAAAGATCTAATGATGCCTGCACTTCACTAACAAACTGACTCTGGGGTTTATTTGCTCTGCCAAATGTTGATTTGTTTAGATTTTTTTTTCTGTGAAAAATTCTCTTAGAAGTGACAGCGTGTTATAGATGAGGGGAAAGTAAGTAATGCAATGTGAAAGTATCCTCTCAAACCGAAGTGAATTATGCCTGTGCTTAAAGACAAGGGTTTCTCAGAGCTAAATAAACAAAATGTTGACTTTTGAAGATTATTGAGCTCTTGGTGTCTTGCTCTTTCTGTTTTCAGCTTTGGGAAGCGGAAAACCCAGCATTCCAACGCAACGCTGGCTCATTGGGACGCTGTGTGCTGTCGCATTACTCACCCTTGTTGCAGTGATCGTGTGCTTTGTTATGAAAAACAAAGGTGGCAAATATGCAGGTATGCTGGCACGCCAGGAACAAGACATGCTCTCCAAGGGAAAAGGTCAGTTAGCTTTGTCAGGAAGAGATCCCTTATTATTCTCTGCATGGGAATTTCTGCAGCTGAAATAAACATCCAGTAGCTTAACTCTGATTGCAGCCTTACTTGGAGATGCCCAACAAACAGTGCCTTGCAAAAATATTAAAACTCCTTGACAAGTTTCATGTATTGTCATGTAACAACCACAAAAACAACAAACATTTGAAGTGTGCCATGCATTAGCATTCAGTTTCTTTCTCTCTTTATATTCAGAATAACCACTTGAATTAAGATGTGGTCTAACCTGTAAGTAGACTAGATGTATGCTATTTAATCTCTGTAAAACTGCATCTGGCCTGTATGCATTAAGGATCTAAGCTTTAAAGGTCTCATGGAGGATTGTTCATTTTATCGTTAGCAAATTTAATGGCCATGGATCAAATACAGGGCTGACATCACCATCAACCTAAAAACTTACAGGTTTGGCAAAGGGAGCAGCAAAGGTTTTGGAGGAGCAGCAAAGTTCCAGAGCTTAGAGGGGAAAAAGCATGTTGTGCATGTAATAAAATTGCGGAGGGAGTAAATAATTTCAATGTTTTAAGTCTGCAAACTCTATATTTAAGTCTATATTTAGACTATATTTATACAACAACCATTAGCATCCTAATCTCTGCTTTCTAAGCTGCTCCATCAGGGTCAAGATCATGCCTCCAACCAGCTGCAACCCACTTCTACCCCCATCACTGCCCTGGTCTAGTTCCTCTATAGTTCAGCTCCCTTTCTCCTTCATCTTCCAGTCCACTGCCCGTGCACAGGCCCCGAGGGGAAGACATTTCCATTCACATAAATCTGACCATATCATCATAATCAGATATGCTCAGATCTATGCCCTGTGCTGGGGTCTGAGCGACAAAAACATATTATTGTTAAGGACAATATTGTTATATTAAGTCATGTAAATAAACTCTAATTTCCTCCCTATCTCTTTGTGAGTCTCTCTAGGATGAAACTTTATCACCTACAAAAAAAATAATTTGTAGGTTAAAAAAAATAAATGGTGGACACACATTTCCCATCATCACACATGATGGTGACAGCATCATGCTGTCAGGAAAGGCCCACCTAGAAGGAATAGAAAGTTTGTCTTAATTTATCAAAAAATAGACAAAACAAAATCCAGGAAAATTTACTTGAAAGAAAAAAGGGAGACATTAAAATGCTGGAAACTGGAACAGAGTTTAGCCTTCTAGATAGAAAACACACCTAAACCAACAGCCAAATCTGCCCTACAAGGGGTTGTATGATTAGAATGGCTTAAGTGTAGTTCACATTTAGGATCTATGTCAGGACTTAAAAATAATAGACTGTGTTTTTTTTAAGTTAGTAGATACATACCCCAAAAGACAAAAGGTGGTTCTACAACGAGGAGCTGAACTGATAAGTGTGCATTACTTTTCTGAATTGTTATATTAAAAATAGTAAGAAATTGTTTTCCCTCCACTTAAGAATTATTGAATACTTAGTTTTTTTTCTATCATAATAAAAGAGTATAGAGTTTTGTAGTTGTTACATGAAACAATGAAGCAAGGTACAAGTTTTTCTCACTTATTTCTACTTTTAAAGGGCACTTGAGCTGGGTCACTATGGACCTGGATCACCATGTATTCAAATAGTTCCAGACCATGGATCATGCATACTATTTCTGCATCTGCTGTAGTTTCCTTGCAAATTGAACACTGGAAGTTGTGCCATCCTGCTAGTTCTGCTTGGCAAAAATGATTGCATTTCTCATCCAGCATGGGAAGTGAAAATAAGCACTCTTTGTTCCGCTGTTCCCTATCCCTCACCTATGCAATCCTTTGTTACTCTTACCTTGTACCCCTTTTCCTGCCCAGTATCAAAGCCAGTTTTCATCTCATAGTGTTTTGTCCCTATAAATTGTCTCTTTCCCCTTCCACCCTGCATTCTCTACATATGCCCACCATACCTTCAATGCTTCTTTGCCTGTAGTGTTTGACAAGAAGTACTGAATATTTCATCAGCTTCTTTGGATAGCCCCTTTGTCCATCCAGCTCTTTTCACAAAACCCATTTCTTTTGTCTGCCTCAAAAGCAACTGTTATTTTCAGAGCGTGTTTACCAGGGTAGAAGCCAGCACTTTGTGCACACATGCAGAAGAGGTGCTCTACATTTTAAAACTTTATGTAATGCACACAGAATATGCAAGGGGTGATATATATTTATGTTAAATCTTGAATTTGAGCAATTCAATTGAATTAAATTTAAGCTATGCAGCATAATCCATATACCGGTGTGATTCATTGAGAGTGTGTAAATATATATATATATATATATATATATATATTTATATATGTGTGTGTACATATATGTGTATATATATATATATATACATATATGTATATATATATATATATATATATATATATATATATATATATATATATATATATATATATATATATATATATATACATATATATATATATATATATATATATATATATATATATATATGTGTGTACATTTATTTATTTATTTTTAGCTTAAATCTCAGACTTTTGTGCTGCATTAGTACTGAGCTGCACTGACTTTAATTGTAGGAGTGAAACAGTCTTGTTACACGATATCTTTTCTTTTTCAGTAAAAGGGAAGGAAGATCTCTTTACTGATGCAGAGTCACAAGGAATGAATGATGACGCCTATGAATACAGGTGAGTTACATCCTGCCGCTACTGCTGCTGCTGTCCAGATGTGTGGTGATGAAGTTAATTCATCTCCTTGACATGCATTATGTTCTAGCAGCACAGCATGGAACAACCACAGATGTGAATGGAAAAGATAGTACTGTTAAATCACAGCTTTGTTTTTCCCCCCTTACTATCCTAAAAGCAAACCGCGCACTCACGACGTTAACCAGGATCAACCTGAAAGCCAGTGTACTCATCATTTAATGGGCTAGGTAATCACAAAGTGTACTTAAGAGCAGTGGATAACCCTCGGCTTAAGCTTTGTTCCCTTTAGCTGGCATTATGTGTTTTCACTCAGTAGTTAGATTTGTTTTGTGTGCATGTTCCTTCTTTTTATACTGCTTTCCTTCTTGTGCATGTAGGCTATGTTAATGTTTGTGTGTTTGTGAATTAGAGTTAAACAGTCAGCGTTTTGCCTGCCGGAATATATGCAATTTTATATATTTCAACAGAATCTATTTAAAAAATTGTACCACAATATCAGCCTTTCATGTCAGTCCACAATGAAAATTATTGATTATATTTTGCATATTAAAGGTTAAGAGGCTAAATCCTTTTTTTCTGCCAGTATCCCTCAAAATACCATGTGGTTTTGGATCAGAGTTCCTTGGAATAAAGAAAAATAAGATCTGACATATTTTCTAATGATATCAACCGAGGGTCTATTATGATTTATTTATTTATTTATTTATTTATTTATTTATTTATTTCTTTATTTCTTTCTTTCTTTCTTTCTTTCTTTCTTTCTTTCTTTCTTTCTTTCTTTCTTTCTTTCTTTCTTTCTTTCTTTGGCCTCTGTAGCATGTAATAATGTTGTAGTAGAGTCTGCATTGGGCCCTCTTGGTAACATGAAGTATGCATGCAAGGTTATGATTTTACAAAAGAGTGTAGAAATCACCTCAATAAATAAAACTGAAATGAAACCCCATTTTTTCACACGTCAAATCTATTCATATGTCCTTCAGCTTAGTTTTTTTTTTTTTTCCAGTTAGAAACATCTATGATTGCTGCTACAGTCTGAAAACATGTTTTTTCTAATGAAACCAAGCTTGCTTCAACTCTCCACAGCCCTCTCAAAAGCCCCAGAGTGCAAATTAGCATGCGCACCTGCTAATTCTGATTAGAACCAGAGCAAATTAATACTAGGAATTTCTGGAAAGTCATCTGATTTTAGGCAGGCTTCCAGATAATCACTTATCCATTGTACTAAAAAGCCAGATGTTTTAACTCAAGCTAGATGTTTCAACTTAACTGGTTGGACAGCTTGTTTATTTATGTTTTTATTTTTACTTAAGTTGTTATTTACAACAATGATCATAGAAGGTTGTGCAGATTTAGATTATCACACTTGTAAACAATTGCAACAGATATGACTGAAATTACCAGAAGGAAAAGTAAAATCCCCAAAATGCTGACTGCTTTGCTAAATAAATATAAACAAATAGGATAAAAGGACAATTTGCACTGAAGAGACATTTCGATCATAAAACACAATTAGAGATTTTACATGGATATGAAGGGTAACCTTCTCTATCCAGGATCTACTTTGGTTTCAGTACTGCCTGATACAGACAGGCTTTATAACACTGTATTTCTGCCTCACACTTGGCAACTGCATATTTACCTAAAACGATTTCACATTGTGAGTCAGAGAGTATTATGTGAAATATACTTAGCTGAGACCACAATGGAAGAAGCTTTCACTGCAGATTCACAGGTCTTAGATGTATGTAGTGTCTGCCCTTTAGTGAAGCAGGCATAAGCTAAGCATTAAACGCACTATAAAACTAGGCTTTCTCAAGCAGACAGCTGTTGCATTGTAAAATGTCTTTTGAATTTCTATTGTTCACATTGTTTAGCTACTATAATGGCAGCAATGGGGAATTAAATGAACCCTATTTTCTTGGATTGCAGTGCTGCGAACAGGGTGACAATAGGATGTTTATTGAAGGAGAAATCATCTGAAATAGCCTCCTCTGTCTGCCTATTGGGCTTGTTATCATCCTATTCAGGACATTATTACTCATAATGATGTGACTTCTGCAAAGTTATTAATTCTTTAATGCTATGATTATATATGTACAATTCTCTCACACAGTAAATTGTGTCAATAAACTTAATTCTGGGTTACAATATTATATATTTAGAAGGAAGTTTAATATGCAAAAACTGTTTTGGGCAAAAAAGAGAATAAAATAATGGTATAATAATTAATATCAGGTTGAAACAATTACTTGGATTAATCATGATTAATCGATTATTGAAATAATTGTCAACTAATTTAGTAATCGATTAATTGTTAATTGGAGTATTGGACTGTAAAATATGTTTTAGCCGTCAGAGGAACAAAATTAGTGCTCTAATTATATCAAAATTGTAAAAAAAAAATATATGAAAATTTTGCATTTAAGATAAAAAAAAGAGAAAGTTTTCATCTGTTAATATGCTCTATCCAGAACCCCTCAAGTGGAAAAGTTTCGGTTTAACCTGTTTAATTTAGGAAAAAATATTTTTTTAAGGAACCTTTGGCTATCCAAAATCCAAAATAATCACTGAATGCAGCCCTAATTAATATATATATATATACCACTGGAATGTTACACTTATGAGATTTTGTATGAGTGACCATTATAAATCTGTGCATCACAGTGAATTTGAATGATACACCTTTTTTTTTTTTAGATAAAATGAAATCAGGCAAGTGAGCTGTGCATTCAGCCCCTTGAATTGGTACTATCTGTTGGTACTGCAGATCCTTGCAGGTATGTCCTGAGAGAGCCTGTGAACACCACTTTTAGAGTCTTGCAGAGTCTTTCTGTTGCATTTAGGAGTGGAAAGTGAACAATCGCCCTCATGTAAAATAATTGTGTGCCTCAAAAGGGTCTCTGTAAAGGTAGTTCTAACTTTAGTGACTACACAGTAATTGTGTCCTCTCTGACAAAAGTGTATTTAGTGTGTACTGTGGGCTGAAACATCCTAATATGGTCTCATCTGAACAGAGCTCTTTCTTATACTTTTTTCAATTTTATTTTGCTTTATTTTCTCCCCCCACATGAGCTACAGATCTCTGAAGCTCCTCCTTAGTGATTGTACACCTTTTAGCCACTGTTCTTGTTTAGCCTGTCAGTGTTTATAGGTTTCCTTTAATTATATGAAAATTTACTTTTGTAAGATGGCCTATCTAATGAATTTTTTTTTTATAGATAAATCAAATTTGTCTTGGGAATATGACAACATGTATTTCAAGTGGTATAATATTTAATATAACTCTTAAACCCTGTATGAATATAGCATTGATATTGTGTTATAAGGAGCTGTTACATTCTCAGGAGATGAGAATTTGTTAAAGAGCATTTGCAGATACTGCTTAGAATGCTTCTCATGGTTTGTTTCATGAGGTTGGTTGCAGTACTGTCCCCCCAGAGTGCCCTTAGCCTTGCTGTGATGTTGTTTGGCTGCCTTCAGAGCTAGTTTCAGGGCTCTCTTGTGCCCTTTGAATCTCCAAAGGCAATAGACCACCCACTGGTATCCCATGTGTCTGGAGAGCTGACAAGTGGTAATTATGCTTCTGATGCTTTCTCTTTTGAAACCTCCATCTACGCCTTTTGCCCCTCCATCCACTGCAAAAACAGCAGGTGTCACGACTGCACCAGGTTGTTTGACTCATATAATTGTTGTTTTTTTCCCCCTCACCTTTGAATAAATATCCTGCTATCTAATGTGCAATTTTGGAAAAGGTAATATGTGTGCAAAAATGTTTCTCCTGCTATTTGTGTTTTATTTTTTTATTATGTTGTTTTTTTTTTTTTAAGACTTTTGAAGTTTTTGAATATAAGATTGAAAAAGACACATTGAATTCCTGCCATCGACCCAAAATCAGGTCAAGATGTGTACCTGGGAAGACATAAATGATTACTTTTATTGCCTCCCTTTACCTATTTGTGAAACAGATTTTTTTATTGAAACAGGAGCAGGATATAACAAATTGAGGTCCAGAGTAAGCTGGGGCTCAACGACTCAGCCCCATTTTATCACAGATTTCAAAGTCACTGTAGGTGGGCAAATGCGGCAGTGGCATTTCACCGCTCTCAGATAGCAGCCACTTATCTTCAGCGCTCTACAGACGTCAGACAAAGAAGGTTCGATAAGGAAAAGCCCAGGAAAAAGAAGGTTGTAATGTGGACCTTATGTGACCTGCATCATAAACAGCTTTACAAAGTAGCCCAGATAAGATTGGCTATTAAAAGTCCCTTTGAAGGAGACTCAAAGTGTAATCTTTGTCTTTGACGAGGCTCTCGTGCTTGAATTCCTACTCACAATTTGGGGGTTCTTTGTGATTCAGGTGTCAACTGCAATAGGCCTCAGTGAGCACTATCACGTATGAGCCGCCTGAGTATTTGTCAGCATCAGTTTTTTGTGTTTTGAATACAAAACCAAAGTAAAAAAGTGGTGTTATAAAAAATGATAGTTTGGAAGACTTGGGGGAGCGGCAAAGGCATAGAAGGAGGAATATCAGTGTTTTGAGGTGACCCCATGCCTAAAAAAAAGACACCTGCGAGTTGGCCACTTGCCCGGCGGTAAATTGGCATCTAATCTCCTCGACTCGTGCATGAGCCCCTGGGAATACCAGGAATGACAGGTTGTTTGTCTGGGATTGCATACACGCCACCTCTTCTCCCCTGTTCTGCCGTCTACCAGACTCACTGCTCTTCCACAACAGACACAAACCTTGCACTTGGCATCTTACTCACTTCAGTCTGGCAATCTCTGCCGCTGACTCTAAAGAGATTTTAAATTGCCTTTGGTCTTGAAGCCCCTGCAATTAGCAATTAGTGAAGTGATTGTAGAAAGCCCTCCTTGCCCCTGTGTGCTCTTTTTCCTGCTGAGCAGTTGCTGCATCTATCCCTGCCTTCTGCATGTAGTTATATACTGTATTTGGTTGTTTGTTTGCTGTGGTTTCTCTTTCTACTTTTTGATTTCACACAGTTATCTCCATCTTTAATGAAACCCCTAATAAAGACTAAGAATCAACTTGAAATATGTTTTTTTTAATTATCATTTTTTTCTTTTCTTTTCCTTTCTTTTTTTTTTTTTTTTTTTTTTTTTTTTGCAGTGGCATGATCTCAGACCTAATTTCTTTTAAAAATTCCTTCTTTGACCTTGAGATTGTAATGAAAAACTCCAACACATTCAATCAATGATTTTGTATAAATATAGTCAGTGCCAAATTTTTCAGAACCCTTTCTATCAACACTATAAAATATACTTTTTCCCTGCAAGATTTAACAAGGTTGGCACATACATAGAGGATCGTAATTTTTCATCTTTGCAGTCTCTCTAGAACATCCAGAGTATTGGGTAATCTCGAATCCAGCTTTTTTGAGTGCATTAGTTAATGTTGTGGGGGGAAAAAAAATCCTATAAATATTTTTCACAAAACTACAAGTGACACAGTTAGTAGTTTCTATAAATATTCCAATACAATAAATGATATAATGGAACTAAATGCTACTCAGCAGTATTTTCTATATGTCTTACTTTTTTCTGATTTTTAAATAAGTAAGACACAGTTATCTTTTCCTTGTATAAAGTCAACAAAACACTAGCTGTGTTTCCATTAATCATCAAATCGTGCAAATTTTAGTTAAAAAACAAAACTTTTTTTGAAACCCCCCCCACCACATTTTTCAATAAAAAGTTTTTACGCTTTAATGTGATGGTTTTTTGGGCTTATATTTGGCAAGAATGCAATGGAAACACTTTTATTGCATTACACGACTCACGTGATAAGCAAAAAAAAATGTAAAAATTAGGAGGAGGATGGTGTGGCATATTTGGATTCATAAGCAGTTGTGTTTTAGTTGTAAATGTATTTCTTATCAATTGCAAACGGCACAATTTAATTTTCGCAATGCGCAGAATATTTATATTGTTTTTGATGGAAACACAGCTACAGATGACTTACCAGGGCTTGATATGAACTTTTTTGCTCTGCCACTGTGGCTGATGACTTTCCAAAGTGACTAACCAGTCAGCAGGTTACCTAGACACGTTTTTGCTCAGCTAATGAAGATATTGTATGATCTACTGCATGGCTGTAAAACCTAAAGGTCGTCTGTTTAATAAAGACTTTCTAAAATACTAAATATACACTTTTGTTGCACTAAATGCTCTTAAGGAACAAATTTTGTACTAAGAGCTACAAAAGAAGCAGCAAACTCATTACATTAAACATTTTAATGGAAGCTTCTCATTCTTTATAAAATGATCCCTGAATAATGTACCCTCAAAATATCAATATTTTGATTTTATAATACAAATGCTACCTGCTTTGTAAAACATTTTTCTCATATCTTTGCTATTTTTCAAAATCGCAAAAAAATGAGCATTAGGTCAGAAATACCATTGATTTCTAATTGCATGTTCTTAAAACACTTTAAGCAAATTAAACAGGTAAGGTATGAGTAATAGGAAAGTTTCAATTAAATAAATGCTTTTGGAGTCATTAGTCATGCTCCTATTGGTGGCCACCACTGAAGTTGTACAGTGATAGATTTGATCTTTTGTCCCCCACAGTATAAATGTAATCATAAGATTGTAATTTATGTACATTATTCAGTGTAAGATTCAGATGAAAGATAAAACTAACATGAAAGATTTATCTATTTTGAGTCTATTTTACACATCTAGGGTGTCAGAAGTGCCAATGGTATTATAATAGTGCTGTATGTGCATGTGTCTGAGGTTGTGTGTCAAAAACTGTTATATATAAATTTTTTCATTGTATGTTTTGGTTTGCCGTGAGATTTACCAACTTGTGCCACTAACCACAATTCTTCTTTTTTGTTGTTAACCATGGCAGTGACAACGATGAAAAGCCACTGAAGGAAACCATCTCAGGTCCCAAAGAGGAAACAGGCTGGGATGGTGTCAGCAGAGACAGCTTGGTTGATTACGCAGGCGAAGAAGGAGAATTCAATGAGGATGGTTCATTTATTGGAGAATACGCTGAACCCAGATACCGGGATTCTATCAGTGAGCCCAGTGGACCCAGCAGTGTCACTACATAAATCCACTTCAAATAGCCTTTATCACTTTCTGACACAATACTCGTGCAACTTCTGCAACCACTACTTTAAACCTAGTCTAAGTGACCAAACACGGTAAAATAGAATATACTCAGGTATTAACTGTTTTATTGCTGGTATAGTTTTTGTCTGTTTTTCTAAGGGAAGAGTGCTTCTCTGCCATACAAATCAGTGTGCTGTCACATAGGAGTCTGTACATTTTGTAATAGAACAAATATTATATTAGAGTTGTTTATTTTGGCCTTGACAATATGTTGCTTTTATACCAACCAGCCTAAATCGAAACACTTTTTCTACATCATCATACTGCATTGGAAATGGAAGAACCAAAAGTTTTTAAATAAATTATATTAATAAAAAAAAACAATAAAGATTTTAACATTCACCTTATTTTTTTACACATATACAGGGTACGGTTATGTGCTACCAGAAATACTTCCCTTTCCTTTCTTCTTAATTCCTTTGTTCTGTGTCTTATTTTGACCTTTGAAATGTGACTTTTAAGAAGCAAGTGTGTAAACACTGAAATATGCAATTTACTACTGTATATTTTCTTTTTATATTGATCCTGTCCCAGGACACAACAACAGATATGTAAGAAAAATGCAAAAATGTATATAAAATTATGTCTAAGTCTTCTGAGCATGTATTTATTTTCTTACTGGAATGTATTTGAAATATAAGTATTAACAAAAAGGAAGGATACTCACTGGACAATTTATTAGGCCACCCTATATAAATGCCCTGATTTTTGTAAACAATTAAGATAATTTTACTTTGCATCAATTCAACAGGGTATTAGAAACATTCCTCACAAATCCTCAATGTACCACCGTAAGGGAAATTAAGGTGCATCAGAAGCAAGGGGAAAAGCAATGGAAGCATCCAGATACACACAAGGGAAAGAAAATGTTTTGAGAATAAACATGTCCATAAGGGCAATTTACACCTTTAGAAAAATAACACTATATCTATTTGACATTGCATACTTAAACTAAAAGAGATGTGAAATGTAGTTGGAAGCAATTATAAAGTGAAGTAACTGCTAGAAGGAATAATCTCCGATAAGGCTCTTCTGTGCTTTTATGATGCAGCTGTCTTTCTCTAAAGAACCCTTCTAGAGCTGCAACAGCCTCATGCAAAGGGTGAGGGACAATTTCCAAAAATGTAGTTATTTTGTGCTTTTTCCTTATATTTTTGTAGACAGAATTACATTTCTTGTGTCACAACACCTGCCTTACCAAGATTTACTTAAAAATATATTTTAGGTATTTGCACGCAAATGATTTAAGTAAAATTTAATCTGCAATATCAACTAACACTCACTTGCCAGTATCAAGTGAATTTTACTTTCCATAATATATAACAGTTTGGAAGATATTAGGTAACCTTTAATTAATTACATTGAAGTTGTAAGTTACATATTGACTTACTTTGTTGCATTACGTTACATTATTAGGTAATAATTGCCAGTTTACTTTTGACAAATGTTACCAAATAAATTGAACCAATAGTCTATACATTTAATATACATTGAACAGTTTAGTTTTCATTTTAAACAGTTCAACAAAGAAGTAAATACCTAATGCAATTGCTCAATGTTTTTCATGCGCCAGCCAGAAATTTGACAGTCTAACAGGAAACCATCCATCCATCCATTTTTGTCACGCTTAATCCCAGTGGGGGTCACAAGGTCAATGGGCAAGAGGCGGGGTACACTCAGGACAGGTCGCCAGTTCATTGCAGGGCAGCCCAGAGACAAACAGGACAAACAACCACTCACGCACACACCTAAGGACAATTTAAAGAAGCCAATTAACCTAACAATCATGTTTTGGACTGTGGGAGGAAGATTTGCACCACTGAGCAGCACTCTAACTGGAATCGCACTTTTCAAATATGCAATGAGAAATGTATAACCCTCTAAAACTCAGAGTTTCAATATTCGTAACAGAAATATACTCATATGAAAGATCAGGAATGTTTAATTTACACAAACATGCTCAAAACAACTTCTGCGCGAGGGCCAGAACATAAACAGCCACTTAAACATTTAGCAGTGATGTAAATATCATGTATGCCTCTATTTAATAAAAAAAAAAAGCTTGTGCAAATGTAGCATTAATATTAAAAGTGTGTTATGTTGTACTGCATTAGAATTTGTAGCAAGAAAAAAAAAGATTAGGTTGGTATGACCTGTAAACAACCAATACACAGCATTTCATATACACCACATCCAACACAGATCTGGTAATATAGTCACTACTCAAATATTCAATAAAAATCTTATTAACATACAAACTGAAACAGTGCAATTTCATTTGAACCAGTCATCCAAACTAGTGGACTTTTAAGAATGCAATTACAACATTAAGGAAACAAATCAATGCAATAAAAAAAATTAACACCTTAAACTGTTTAAGCATTCTCAATGAAGAATAAAATCTCTACTAGATTTTTGAATAAACGTATCTGTTATTTTATTGCCATATAACATATACCTTATTTAGCAAAAATATAAAGCATTAATGACAGGTAAACCTACACTAAGATTAACTGGAACCCACTTCTAATTCTTGGCATTTGTTGCCACATTTTCCTACCCTAAGATGACAAAGTCATGAATGCATTTAGGAAAGCAACTTCAACGTCAGGGTGTTTAATTGTGGGGACAGTTTAAATCCATCAAAATCCAGGAAAAGTTTTTTGAAGACTTTAAAAGTGTAGCACAAAGTGGGAGGGTGTGCCATTTTCGGGGTATATATTAGTCCCATGAGCAGCAAGCAGGCTTTTGCAGTACTGTAGCACCCTGCCAAAATGATTGTCGTTGGGACTACCTCTTGCTCTGTGTGTGATCTTGTAATGTCTGGATTCGGAGCAGAATCAGTCCTGCTTTGAGCAGAGTAGAAATTATGATGAATACTCTAATAGAGTTTACTGCACCAAAAAGTCACATTTCAGTGAAGGTAGTTGTTTCAGTTGTAGAAAAGCTGCTGGTGCAACAAGCTGCACCACAAAAGAGTGCCTACAGTCATAAGAATTCTTAAAAGTACTCCAAGAGACTGGAGCTTTTTGAATGGAAAGTGTCTGCTTTGACACATATTGTATTGTTTTAATAATGTTCATTTTACTGTTCAGGTGAACACCCAGGTACTTTTGAGTCAGAAATGTTGCATAATCAGTTTTTCTGGTCTTATTGTTCAGTTTTGGTCTGACTGAGCAAACTTTAGCTTTATTTTCCTGTGCTCAGCTGACAGAAGCCTAGGTGGAAGTTCATATGAATAAACTTGATCACTCACCCTCATGCAATCAGAGGTTCCTCCATCTGTGAATGAGCCAGTTAGCATTCAGTTACCATCTTAAAAAAAACTTAATTTAAAGCTCAACCTTCTACTTTAAGCATCTGACTTGGATCAGACGTCAGACTTTGATTCTGATGACCCTGATTCAATCCCCCTGCATCTCCTTCTCCACCATTCTTGCAAGCTCCATCTCGTTCCCTGTCTATGCTGCTGCCTTGCCACTATTAAAGTAATTCCTTGGACTCATACTGCTCTCACAAGGCATCCCCGGTCAGGCAGAATACATTGAGTCTAATTCTGCCAGAGATTTATTCCCAAGGGGAGTTTTTTTTTCTCTCCACTGTCACTCATGCTTGCTCATCATGGAGACTCTTACGGACCTGCGCCTTACTCCGGCTGACATCCATCTTCATTCCATCTCTGTTCTACCACCAGTTTCAGGCCTAGAGGGTTTCATCCTTGTTCTCATTCAGCAGCTCATGCATATAATCAAAGTAAATTTTAATGTTAATGTACCCTGCAAAGGCCTAAGCACCAAAGACTTAAAATATTGTTTCAATAAAACTCTTCTAATTACCTTCCTTTTGTGAGTTTTTCAAGCTAAACTGCTGAAGACCATCTGATTCAAAGTTATACTGAATAGATATGGTTGCTCATGAAAATTTTAGTACATATTAGCATGTTTTTGAGAATTCAGAATGTCTGTCTGGCTCCAACAACCATACTATTTTCAATTAAACTCCCTGTCTTGGAGATTTTGATCCTCACTTTATATATCAGCAAGTTGTCTTTAGCAATACAGACTAGTAATTATTTAAACAGGTTCAATGAAATATTAGGGGAACTTGTCAGAGATAAATGATGAATTATGCTCTCACCTTTTGGCCTAACCAGCTTTGGAGTGAATTAGCAGCAAATTTTCACATCACTCCTAAAAATCCTTCAAAGTATTTTACTATAGCAGGTTTTATTGTCTAGAGAGTAACAGGATGAATCATGTACTGTTTTATCTCCACTTTAATGGATTTCCTTTCAAACTGTCTCTTATTCTCATATTCAAAGAGCTTAATTTTAAGTTAATGCTGAAGGCTTGTTTGTTATTTGATGAACAAAAAAGTTTTTTTAGACTTATCCATTTGAAACAAATCATCCAAATTATGTACAAATACCAAATACATTCTTACAAGATATTGATGTTATACATTTTATCTCATATTACTGGATTCAAAAGATAAATCTTGACATTGAATTTTAGAAACATATAATTTAAGGACATTACTTCATAAACAATGAGACTGTTCATGAGTTTGAGTAAAATGTATTGTGTAAAAAATAAAGATAAAATCACAGGAAATCAGCAAAGGGAACCCAATGATTATGGCTGCAGTGCCTTACCGGTGAAAGGTTAATTATTTGATTTCCATGATTCATTACATAACTCCTCAAATTCAAGGACCCTCTAGAATTTCAAAGCAACTTTCACATAAATCTTCTGAAATTACTTTTGACATTTTAGAAAGTGGATACTTGGCTTTTAGAAGCACATACCAGACATACTTAATAACTAAATTGCACTGATAGTGCTTTCAGCATTATCTGCCTCCCTTTGTAAGGATGTGTAAAAAGTCTGTAACCTAACTTAATTCATACTTCAATTAAAGTACATTTATTAGGTGGAGCAGAAATGCCACATTATAAAAAAGATCAGATGAGAAGAAAATGTAAGGACTTTGGCCTACATGTAAAATATAATGAATGATAAAAAAAAAAAAATAACAGCAATTAGTTCAGAGTTTATGGTCATTTGAATACAGCTAAAAAGTACGCTGATAGAAGAAATTAACAATTAAAGAATCATTGTCACAGAGTGGAAGCTTCCAGCAGGACCAAATGTTCTCAACATATAGAGCTATAAAAGATTGGTGAACCAAATTTTGTCTTAAAACTGACCAGCTAGATCTTAATCGAGTTATGGATCTGGGCCCGGTCTTAGATTTGTATCTACTCTGACAGAGCTTGAGCTATTTGGAATAGAATACTGAGGAAAAATCCTTATGTCAGTCTTTAGATATTTTAATTCAAGATGTTCATCCAAAAAGCAGTTTCTTGAAATAAATAGCTATAACGAAATGAATTCTTAATGGTCGAATAATCTGTAAAAAATAAACACCCTAGAATATTTCTTCCATATTGCTTTACAGGCATTTTTCTTTTACATACATTTCTATTGAAGGACATTGAGGTTTTTGATTGCGGTATAAAAAAAGCTTGAGAATATCAAAAAAGCAGAATTTTTTTGCAAGGCACTGCATTTGAAGACAAGACAAAGGCCTTGGGAGA